GCGGGCCCGCCCGGTACCTCCGCGCCTCAGCTCCCCGCCCGGGCTCCGGAGAGGCATCTCCCCTCTTCCCCGTTTTCCAGGGGAAAGTGTCAGCCCGTCTCTGTAGCCTGTCGGAGGAAACCCCGGCTGCCTCCGGCGTAAAGCGGCAATTCTGCTTCAGCGCTTGGCTATCTCAAAAGGGCTTAGAGAATAACCGAAATCTTTCTGTCGCGAAATGCGAACTCGGCTCGTGTCAAATCCCATGGAAACTTTGGCTCTTGTGGGCTTGTTCGGTTTTGTAATGAGGTGAGAAATGTTTCTTTCGTGCTCTTTACCCTCGGTAAACCGGTGCTGTGGACGTTAAAAAGCTCCTACGTGTTTTGCTTGTATTGTGTTTTGCTCAGCCTGCTTTACTTTCTTGTTCTTGTGGACTAGAACCAGTTTTCTGTTCAGCTCGGCACAAGTGAAGATAGGTATGCCTTAAACAAATAGCTTTCTTAACTTATTTTTTGATATTTTTTCTATTTTAATTTTAAAAGTTACCTGTAGGTTTTTAAATTCCTGAGAAACAGCTGTGATGGTTTCAATGGGATGCTTCGAAGTAGTGTATTTCAATAATAAAAAATTATTTAAAATATTGAAAGACTATTTTTAGACAATGCATTAAGTATAAAATCTTCCCGATACCCTGAAATGCAATTCTTTAGACATCCCTAAGTAATCAAATTTTTTTTTTTTATCCTTTGCCCTTTGTCTTGTTCATCTCTTAGTTTAGGACTGGATAGGTAGGTTCAAGTAACAATTTAAACCGATGGTTTTACCATTTCAAATATTTCATTATACGAAGTTCATTTTCAGCAACGTTCCTCTGAAATCCCACTGCCCTCTACTGGCTGGACCAGTAGGGTTCACCTGCCCGGTGCTCTTCCCTCTCCACGCTTTTTTTATTCCTTGTTCGTTTGTTGATTTTCTTTTTTTAAGCTCAGAAACAGCTGAGAAGTGTGCTGTTAAAATCTACGAAACCAGTATCTTTACAAGGTAGAGAAGGTTGCTGGCAAGATGGTCTCCCTAAGGAGCCCTGAACTTTAGATTTCAATCTTCTCCTTGATACAAACTAACCTAGTTGGGCTGATCTTGAAGTCACACTGCAAAGCCTATTTTACAAAGGCATAAAGGGAAGAAAGATGTGTTGGATTTGGCATCTGAGCACTGAGAGTTTACATGTGTAGCTGGAATATTGGTTTGACATTCTTTTCTCTGTTCCCGGGTTCTGGAGAAAATGATGGGTACTACTTGTTTATGACTATACTTATATAAAATACCTATATTTATAAATATTCATATATATAAACTTATGTGTGTTATATCCACACCCCCACACCCCTTCAGTGTTTAAATAGTTTTCTTCTTTTCTTATTTGTGGTGTTCTGTGTTCTAGATAAGAACAAATACACGTGCTTGAGTATTCGAATAATCTCATCTGCCTGAACAGACTTTTTATGTGAGTGAAATCAGATAGAGGATTAAGGCTTGGAGTGAGAATCTGAGAGTTCAACATATCTTTGATAAATAAGTTGTTCAAATAAAACTTTCAGCTGTTTCTTTTTCACAAGCCTGTGAATCTACATTATTGCAGACTTGCGTAGCAAATGCATTTGGTCCTCTTCCTTCCCAGGCTCTTACCTGAATGCTGTGCCTGAAATCACACTTTCCTCTTGGAGCTGTTAAGTCCGGTATGAGAGCTTAGGTTATTTTTAACCTTGCCTAGTCCCAGATGAAATATTTTCGTTTCATGTGAGTGTGCCTCTTTCCTGTGTGATGACAGCATTAGGTGCAGGTGATCATGAGGTTTTGCTACAGCCTGCCAGGGACCCAATGCACCGTGCTCAGCATCTGTTTCAGCAGAGGGCAGCACATGGGGATATTGGAGAATTGCGTTTCACTTGACCTTTACAGTGACTCAGTCTTTCTCCCACACTGCAATGTTCTCCAGCCAGGATAAACCCTGGAAATAATGGGCGTTTTGTCCGAAATCCTGTTTTTGCATATGTCTATTAGCTGTAGAGCTCCCAGGTTTTGAACAGGCTTTGGCTGTCATTTTTGGCATTGCTATTTAAGAAAAAAAGAATAAGTTTTCATAGCACTCAACTTTGTTTTGTAAAACTGCCAGTTCCAGAGTCTTTTCTGAAGTTATCTAACTGGGCAGGAAGTGGCTGAAGGTAGAAGTCAATAGTAATTGATTTAATCCTGTTTTTTTCACTCATGCCTATCTGTCGGTACCTTTTTCCCTTACCAGAACTGGGATGATCTAGGGGAATGAGAGGAAGAGGGGATAAATTAATGGATATTTTAATGAAAAAGGGAACACTTTCAGTCACACTAGAAGCAGAAGAAAGTAAGGCTGCTTTGCAGCTGGTTGCACTGCCATCCTTGCCTCTCATGTAGCAAAGAGGTTTCCAGTGGCTACAAAAGGAAGTATACTGGGGCCTGCTGGGCTCTGATTCTGGCAGCAACACTTAACGTTTCCTTTCTATAGTCTTCTCATCTATATATTAAGGCTGATACTTTCCTACTTCTCATCCAGGTTGTGAATGTGGTAATTTTTTTGTTTGTTTATTGAAAAGATTTTAGGTTTCAAAGGGCATTGGAGAAGTGCTTTGTGAAATATGCCAAAATCCAGTGAAGGAAAGCTGCTTTAACTTCTATACTTCCCTTGGCTTATATGAGTTTAACTGATTTATTTGTTCAAGAGTGCAGTTGGTTTTTTTTCTTCTGAGGTAGCAAGGCTTTCTGTGTTGGAGAATACTGTCACTGTCATGGCAAACAGCTAGAAAAAATGTAAGATTGTAGCTAGATGGCAGGTATATAAAACTGAAAAGGTACCCTGACTCACAGATTTTTGGTTTTTTCCCTCTTTAGGTCAATATAAGATAGACTGCAGAGAGATATTTCACTAAAATCTCATTTTAGGATCAGCAGACTTCTTCCTTGTGACTCTGTTCTGTAATTCAAAGAGAAGGAGCAGGATGTGGGTTTTCAAGATGATTGTTTGATCTTGTCTGATCTCTAACATTTTATACGGCCAAGTGCACATCCTTTTTGAAAGTAAGGTGGCTTCTTTGTGTTTGTTCCACTTCAGCATGTTACTCCTTCCCCTCTTCACAATTTGCCTAATATTACACATATTTTTGTTTTCACCTATGAAATTCAAAATGCTCTTGTGTTGTAACTCATGTTCTAAAAAAAGATCTGTATAAAGTTTCAGACATCATCATCTCCTAGGGATCTTGGCTGTTGCTATAGAAGCCTAAATTCTCTTCTGAGAGACCTTTCCAATATAAAGAAGTTGATACTGGAGGAAGTTGTCATGGAAATACGCAGCAAAAAGAGAAAGGAAATATCAATTTGATGACTGTTACATAGGCTTAGCCAACTTGGGGAGGTGGCTTCATACCTAGAGATCTGATTCTGCAGATTCTTTGTTACATTCCAGTGGACTGGAATGCCGCAGACTAGAACCTAAAGAAATACATTATTTATTATTTACATTGCCAACGATACCTCCTCAACTCGGTGAGCTTCGTGTGTATCCAGATTAATGTTTCCTCACTGCCTAATAATGTCTAAAAAGCAGTATGATGCTATTCCTCAGGCTACCCAATCTCCAGATGGGGAGGCAAGGTCCCTTTCAAGCCAAGTTTGTGGTTGTGTGGCAGGAATGGGGCTTGTCATTTCCCTGGTGTCAGGCCTTTGGGGTGGGTGCAGAGAGCAACGTTGTCTGCAGCTGGCACTGATGTTTCTGTTGGAGGGAACCCCCTACAGGTGACGTTGGTAGGCCAGGGAATTTCAAGCAGAGTGGTTCTAATGTGGGATGAGCTGTAGCACAGCTTTTTATTATACTTCTGTCAATGGCTGCTCTGAAAGGATTTATAGAGCTACTGCTATTGAAATGAGGCTTTCAGAACCAATTTTTAAACGACGAACTAAAAATAGTTTCTTCTTCAAGCTTCAGTGCCATTCCAGATTTGAACAGGAGTCCTTTGTGCCCAGCCAAATGGTGGTATAAGCAAATCTCTCTCCATAAATTACTCATCCACTTCTACCATCTGTAAGGCTGGTTGGTTCCCTGGTTTCAAGCTTTTTGTGTCTTTCTTACTAAAGCCTCCTGATATCTAATAGATGTGATTATGAGTGAGCTGCCTTTAAATATCTATTACCAGTGTCACCATGGTAACTGCTGCAAGAGTTTCTTGCTGGTAGAAGGTTTCAGCTCCCTAAGATACAACAGGGCAAAGTGCTTAGGCTGTTGTTTTCACAGTTTGAATGAGATCATGCACAATATCGAAGAGGAAAAAATAACATATTTCTTATTTTTAATAGCCATGAATGCTAATAGTACTGAAAGGAGTAAGATTGATTCTGGAGCCTGTCCTTAGATAAGAGAATGGAGGACAGCTACATGGGCTGGGACAGACCAAGCTTTCCCTGGAGAGCATGCCTTCACCAGCAAGCTCCTACAGGAACATGTGACTCTCCTCAACTGAACCAGCACTTGGCCTTTCTTTTGATACTGTCAACAAGTGAACTAATTGTTCCTAGTGAAGGATGCGAAGTCGTGATATTCCACTTGCCACAGGAGCAGGCAGAGTTGCTGAGTGATTCAGTGTGGAGTAGAAAAAAATGAGCTGGCTTGTGTGTTATCTCCCCTTTTCTCTGTATTCCCAAACTGTTCCTTTTTTTGCTCTAGGCCTTCAGCTGCTGTGTAGCCAACAGGCTAGAACTGTTGGTTGGGCAATATCCAGAGTGACTTGCCTGCCGTCCTGGGTTCCATAATCTTCCCCTTTCCTTCTCTGGCATCTGCTTTCTTTCCTGAGCTCCTGTTGCTTGGTCAATTAATCCTCTTCTGTTCTGTAATGACAGTTGTTTCTATAGGCTTCTCCACATGACAGGTTCACTAATGTCCCTCATGCTAACTCTGTCACCTCAGGGGGTTGTGTTGCTTTCATTTATTTATGATAAACAGGTCACAAACTCCATCAGATACTACTTCCTTTTCATGCAATCTGTTCTCTTGCTTC